GTACCACACTACACTATACTGCACTACAATAAACTATACTAAACTACATTACACAATACTATACTATGATATAGAATACTATACTATATTGTACTCACACATTTCAATAAATTCACCGGTACTTTCTCTGAAAGGTACTATATCAGTTGTCAAGTCTAGTGCCATCACGTGTTATTTTTATTTTTATTATTATTATTTTTATTATTTATCTTACTTTTTACTAATATTATAAATGCGAAAGTTTAGATAGATGGATGGACGTTTGTTAGAGTTTAATCGGGCGAAAGCTAGTATGTTATAATTATAATAAGCTTCATTTAAATGTAAACATCTAAATATGCTTAAACTAATTCTGTTTAACCATTCCAGAGATAACGAACAAACATTCGTCTAAACTTTCGCATTTATAATACTAGTAATACGTAAAATTACTCTAATGTGTCTGCAATTAATAAAAAAAAAATAACCATCCATAAATTACGCCACAAATTTAGAGGGAAGATGGGGTTTGGCGATAGGGCATTGCGATTAATATGTAATATGTGCGGGATTCTTTTTATTTAGCTTCTAATGAAAGTCTGATTCTTCGTATTTATGTATTTATTTGCTTTAATATTACAATGAATACTTTAAGGTTACGCGCACACCTGTCGTCTTACTTTCCAATCTGTCATCTGTCATCTGTCAAAACTCCCCGCATATTCGTTCCGTTTCACACCATCGTCTATCGTTTTATCTTCCTATATGTTATATCTAAAGTGTCATACGATAAATCTGCTAATTTGCAACGTGCTTTTTATATTAGCAGCACATTAGCGAAAGCATGAGATTGAAATGGAAGCCGCGTTCGTGGCGCAGTCTGCCGCCCGCCGTGCGCGGCCCCGCCTCGCACGCCGACAGGATCAACTACATACTCTACGAAGCCAAACAGACGTACGAGTTCATGTAATCACAGTACACACTAAAAGCGCACACTGGACTAAACTATCGCACAACTGTTCGATTGTTACGCTATTCAACTGTTTAGTTGCACTTAAAATCGAGTAGTCCATATAACCTCAAAGGAATCAAAGCGACATTAACAATTGTTTAGTCAGTGTGCTCTAAATGTAGGTTTCCATTGTCATGCCATGTACTTATATGTGCTTGTTACATGTACGTTTTAAAAATTTTTACTCTATTAACGATATTGTTACTCTGTGTCATTGACATTGACATCCTTCTAATCTTTGAGAAAAAACAGAGATAGCAATAATGTTCCTATGAAAGTGTTACTACACTTAAAAATTCTAACAGAAGTTTGAATAACTAATTTTATCTACGAGTAAAATTACAATATCGCTGTTAAATTATTTATTATATTATAAAAATATATATCACTAATTACAATTATGTTTAAATAAAGATCTGCATATATTCACGCAAAACCATTCATATTTAACAAAATATATTATATTACAATACTTTATTAAGGGAAGATAAATAAAATTGTGACATTTGTTAAACACACAAATATTATCTATGATATAATGAGACCATAGACAACGAGAAATAAGTCAATATACTATAACGATTGTAACTTAAAGAGGTGGATTCCTAGGGCGAAAAATTAAAATACCAAAACCCTAAAGCCAGTGATTCTCAACCACTGTGCCGCGGCACTTTTGTGTGTCGCTAAATTTTTATTATCTTGTAATAAATCCCTTAATAAACGTTTAATTATTATTGTAGTATAAATTAGTTTATTTCGTATATTTAAAATTTTTGTCATCAACTATTCATACAGTAAGTAAATAATTTTTATCTTTTTTTTTGTGTGCAACCAAATTTTTCAAATCGTTAAATATATGCAACAAAAAAAAGGTTGAGAATCACTGCTTAAGCCCTAGGTAACTGAGCGATGGGCGGAATATAAAAGATCATAAAAAAAAGCCGACCTTTGTTACTAAATCCGCCTCTGACTTTGATAGGAATTGATTTTGTTTCTAGATAATATTCAAGTAAATTATGATATTACAAAAAAACCTTTATTGTAATTTATGGGTGTCGTTCTCGGGAGATGGTACCATGGACCATGGAATCTAAACATTAAAAAAATACATTAAATCAGACCGCTAGAGACATAGCCTAGATTATCTAACGATGCCCATGAATAAAGCGGTTAAATTCTATAAAAAAAAAGTAATTATTTTACTAGGTTAATTATTTATATGCAATATGCTTAAATATTTTCCGATAATGGTGACAGTTTAGGTGTTCTTTTAATTCAAAATATATTGAAGTTATGGCCTAATATAAATCGCCATTAACTAAACGGTTTAAACAAGTATTGCCGTTTTGAAATATTAGCTCTTTCGAAAGTTCCTTATAAAAACAGCAATGTAGGTGTTGTGGCTTTAAATCACCGTTTTAGTGGCTTGTTATATTAAATACATTTTGTCACATGAAAACTCTAGCATAGGTATATTTCAACATTTAGCTTGTACATAGCTATGCAATTAAAAATTGAAGTTATATTTATTCCTGTGTAAAAAAGTCAATTTTATACCAAATTGTTTAAAAAACTAATTGATATGTATTATCTGTGTACTTGTCTATGGCAAATATTGCATTCCACTGATCTCTATAAATGGATAGGTGTTTTCAAATGACAGCTTATGCTACGTTTCGAATTAACGCGTCTCTTGATATAACTGACGGTTCATACTCCATTATTAGTTTGATAAAATTGAGATAACCGAAAAGACACAAAATGCCACTGTTTACCTGTCCATTTATAGAGATCAGTGTTGTATTCCCACCTCAATTGACAAGTCTATTGATACATAGTGTTAAAATATCACTTTCTCTTAGCGGTTGTATTATAAACATTGAGAATAGCCGATTGATATGTTTACTGGCAATTAATCTCAAATTAACGAATTTATCGCGTAGTTAAAAGCAAATGAGGACGTATGTTTTGTACATCTAAAGTTAAATGGAACACTGTACGTGTCAATAATAATTAAAAAAAAAACTTCTAGACGAAAATTTAGAACTATTTACTCGATTGAAAATAATTGATATCGGCGATAACATTAAAAAAATATCGTCAATGTTACCAGCGTTATGTGTTCATAGAGTAATCGACTTTTTAATATCGATTGAGATAATCGAGTAAATCAACGCGTTTGTAAATATTTTTATTATTATTGACTACGTATATTATCAACATCGTGATTTAGCGTAGTTTGGAGTGACTGTAGAACATCTAGTCAAAGACACGTGGAAAAAACAATTGTAAATACATCTACGCGTCAACCTACTATTTAAAATCAATGCACAAAAAATATTAAAGATGACATAATTTATATCATCTATATAGCTTTAAAAGAGATATCTCAAGTTACTGTATTAAATACAGATTTTTATATTATAACAAGTGCCACAAAGCTATTGTCCTGTAGGTAAATGAGATTACGATCTACGCGTAATATTTCGATATATTTAATATCGGATATGGCAAGGAAATCGTGTCAAGAATGTCGCCACAGATAAAATAACATACGCAAATGTCAACTGTCAAATGAGCGCGCGAAATAACATACAGTATTGATATGTTTTGGGGAAAATAAACAATATGAGAATAATCATTAATGCAGGCAGAATTATTTTTACTGTAGCGAAAATTAGTCCGTCCCCAAAGTACTCGAGCATGTGAAATAGACTGAAATGAAAACTTGCTTACGTTTGACTTTAAAGTGGTAATATTGAATTGTGATAGGAGTATCTTTTATGTTTCAATGTTGCTTTTATATAAAACGAACAAATTTCAGTAAAGATTAAAATTTATTGAACAATTTTAAAGTCTACAGTCACGCACAATTTGTTCTTAATACGAAAAAGGATCTAAAACCTTTAGCTAAAATGCCTTTATCGACGATTGTACAAAAAAAATATAAAACGAAAAAATACAAAAAAAAAACATTTCATATAATCGTTTTATTAAAATGTAATCGAATAATTTTATTCTT